GCGAACGGGGTATAAGGCTCTAGTTTAGTAGTGTTACAGAGTATAATACGTATATTTTAATATATTTTTTAAAAGAAACAAAACCGCTGAGAAATGTTACGTGTGTTTAACAACGGGTTCGGAAAACTTTGAAAATGTTAACGACAGGTTCGGCCAAACCTGTGCGAACCCGCTGAATATCACCACTGAACACAAATATATTGGGAGTGTTGTGCATTGCAAAACCTTGTTTAGTAAATGGTTTCATTGAATAAATTCATACTGTCTGATATTACATTTGTATTGCTTTCATATAATTGAGACTAGATATTCAGGTCTGCTTATTCTGGTTTTCTTATTTTTGATATATCTGATAACAGTTAACTATATGCCACATGATTTCCCCATAGCTGGAGTTCAAGCCTTCCAGAGATTGTTATGTAAGTTATTCACAACAAGCAGTGAAAAATTAAGCTGTAATTATTGCATTTTGTTTTCACAGCAATCTGTGTTGCAAGCTTCAGAGAATGCTCACAAATTTCAAAGGCTTTCTATAGCACTTTTCAATCTTAATAAAGAACTGTTATAGTCATTATGATCTACTTTTTCCTGCCCATTCATAGAATTGTCCTATTAATTACTACAGCAATAATTTTGTTGTCATCATCTTGATACTTATGTTTAGATAAAAAGCTTTGTTAGAAACCTAATCATTAAAACAGGTCTTTTGACATAATTACCTGTTTGTGTAAATTATTCTATATAGTATTATACTTCAATTGCAAGCAAGAAATAGTTTAGTTTCTGTTGAAAATGAAGGAGAAAGCAGATTCATATTTCTTGCTTGACAGTGATAAAAGGTTTATCATTTTCTAAATTTAAGAAAATATGCCACAAAATTTCAGCAAAAACATTTTAAAGTACTTATGTCCATATCTTCAGATTAAAGCTGTGCTATTACATTGGAGAAAAGTGACATACAGGCAGTCCTCCCTCTGCTTTCATACAATTTGCTATTTCATACTTTTGATTTTTATCGATATATATGGCAAAATGCTTGTACTTTCGTGTAATGATTCTCCCCTTCTCATGAACTATTAGTCACTAGTCCCTCTCCACCTGATAAATCACCTCCATTTTTGGCATCATAGGTTCAGTCTTGAGTAAGCACTTGTATTGTCTTGTCAGTTTGTTAGGCCATGTGCTATCACTTTATGAACATTTCTGTTTTGGTGAAAAAATTTGCCCAAAGTAGAGGACTGCCTGTATTACAGAATTCAGTTTTATTTGAATAATTAAGCTGCAAGTTACTGATCAAATGGAGAATTTTTTTGTTTCACACTTTTATATTAGAAAATGAACAACTTTTTAAAGCAATTTGGATGTTTACTTTTCCAACAACAAAAATCTTTCATTTTTTAAAAAATAATCTGCATAACAGCTGAATGGCTAAGATGATAAAGGCATTGACTCTGCTTTGCTGTTCTGGCAGATTTACGTTTGATTCTGGGTTAAGGCCTCAGAAATTTTTCATGATTGGACCTTGTCCCTCATCATCCAGCAATCTTGTTGTCTTGCTGAACCATTGATGAACTGGAAAAAGTTTTTTTAGTGTCTATAAAGCAGAAGAATGATATATGAATAATAAGATATTAGAACAATAAGAATATTAATTTTTCCACAGAATGCTTTCAGGCTATGCCATTAGTGCAAATGTCTTAATAGGCGATGCAAGCATACTCCAGGTTATGACCATCTCCCAATGAAATAAACTCCAGATATGACTATCATGTATATCTACCACTATCATAATCTGGTTTATCTATCCCCATTGATATGATGCTTTGTTCCAAATGTTGCCACCTGTCTGGTTTTTGTGTTGTGTGTCCAGGCAAAGATAAAAAATGTCTGGGTTTTTAAGAAAATTTGCCAAATTGCCAATTTATTTTTTAATGATATAGCTGATTTTATAACCAATGAACAGAAAGTCTGATAATTTAATTAGTAAGTCATTTATAATAACATTCCAGAGTAGGGATCCAGATACTGAGCATTGAAGATAGCCTTTGTTTAGGTAACAGGTATTTAACAAAGCTCAATTTAATCTCAGCTGTTCTATCTTAAGAAATTTTTGAACAATTAGAAAATATCTGATAAATTTTAAAATTGAGGGTCACCAAGCATTGTCAAATATTGCTCAAAAGTTTTCCATGAGGTAAAACTTTCTTTAAATAAAATACAGTACATACCAACAGAATGCCGAAAATCTATCGGGCTAGTTTTTAATGCTAATTACTAAATAAATTACGTAACCAATTTGGCACTAGAGGTAAGCGTTAGGCGCCATCTCTTATTAATATTAATAATTATAAATAAATTAATTAATTTAAATAATTTAGAACCGCTGGGAGAAAAAATCAGCCCGGAGTGGGACTCGAACCCACAACTCCCGCTTACCGTGCAGATGCGTTACCAGTTATGCTAACCGTCGATGGTTATATAGTTAGCTTATATACGCTGGAAGAGGAGATCGGACTGGAGGTCCGGATAGCGTAACTGGCAACGCATCTGCACGGTAAGCAGGAGTTGTGGGTTCGAGTCCCGCTCCGGGCCGATTTTTTCTCCCAGCGGTTCTAAATTATTTAAATTAATTAATTTATTTATAATTATTAATATTAATAAGAAATGGCGCCTAATGCTTACCTCTAGTGCCAAATTGGTTACGTAATTTATTTAGTAATTAGCATTAAAAACTAGCCCGATAGATTTTCGGCATTCTGTTGGTATGTAGCTATAGTGTATATCGGGTTTGGAGATGTTTGTATAAAATACAGTATATATGTGGTTCCCAAAGTTTTTTCAGTCACTGCCCCTTGGTACTATAAAGTTATACCCAATATCCCCCAACCATACCCCAACACTCCTTAACCCATTTTTACTTCTGTTAAAAGGCTTGGAAATATTCTTATGAAAACTTTTTTAAGAACTTCATACTTTGTCTTTACCATACCATTGTTTTCAACATCTGGAAACCATTAAATGCATGTTTCTTCTCACCTGTTTTAAAGGAGAAACAGAAAGATTAAGTGGTTCCAATCTTTGCCTATGGTCATTGTTCAATATTCTGCCTCCACTGCCCACAGGTGAATACGGTAGAGCAGTGTTTCTCAACCTCTAATGAATTGTCGCCCCCTTCACTTCAAAATTCTGATGCCGAGGGCCAAGGCTAATGCCAAATTCATACCGCATTGAACAGACTAGTGACTAGTATAATGTTATTTGTTTAATTATTGTACGATATAACAAATAAAATATCTAATTATTCTTAATATAATGTTGTACTATATTGCCCATAAAATTGTTTTTTGCCCCCAAAATATAAATTGTTACTAATCACCCCTCAACATGGAAAAATGCCCACATGGGGACAATATTGCTCCTGTTGAGAAACACTGCAGTAGAGCATCAATTATCTGACCCCCCCCGATCAACCGTCACATCAGTTAACCAACTGTGTTCTAGTTGGCAAATTCAAATGTCCGCTAGTGATGCGGTGCTGTAATATTTGGCTATGTCTTGGCTACTTTAATATTATTTTTGTTAAATTTTTGGTGTTTTAGTTGGCAACACTGGCTTGACCATGAAAGGGATGCCAGTATTTAAACAAGGCTTAATTTTCTAATTAAGAGTGGTTGTTTGTTTTGTGAGCAATAAAATAATTTTTAACGATACAATAGCGACGACTATTATTTTAAAAAAATTTTGTTAGGCTTACCATCGAAGAAAATTCAACGCGAAGTAGGTTAATAGCTATATACTAATTACATGGGATATACTATACTAATAATGTATTTTTTCATACGTTTTGGTTAACCATTTTTTCAGTTATCCGACCAACCCCAGTCCCCAATTGAGTTGGATAATCGATGCTCTACTGTAGTAGCACCCACTTTGGGAATGACTGGTTTAAAATGATGTCTTTTTTTTTTACTAGTCATTTAGTATGGAATGATTGACTTGAATGCTTCAAAGTATAACTTTATATTAATCTTAAATCTGTAACCATCTCTTGTCTAGATTAAAAAAACAAGTTTTCTCAAAAGCTAAACAAAGTACAAAGATTTTTCTTTAAAATAGGAGTATTTATTGACAACGTTTGTAAAGCTTCAAGCAATTCAAACAAAGCATTCTTGATATTCTTATGCTGTAATAATTAATATAAACACTAAAATAAGTTAGTGTGATTGAGATTACAGAATGATTTCAATTTATTCATTAACCATTTATATTGAGACCTTGAACAATTATTGCTTTTTGAAAGATGTTTTATTCAATAACACTTCTTTTTACAATATGCATTTTGGCCAAGTTACTAGTTCGTTTATGATATTACTTACATTTAAACTGTTTTTTCATTAATAATAATTTAAATTCTATTTACTAGGGTATGACAGGATTTGTTGTAGTACAAGATATAATCTCTGCTCTTGCTTATTCAGACCCAACACTAAGCCATTACTTAAAGGTTTTGATTAAAAGTATTGGCTAAGGAGCAAATCTGAACTTTTTCTTAAGTCTTTTTCCTCCAGTTTTCAACAGCCTAAAATACTGAAAGGATAATCACATGTTAAACATCAAAATTTATTTTTTAAAAATCATTTTCAGTCTAATAGACCATCCTCAGGATATGTAAGTATTCTAAGTATTAAAACTTAAAATACCTTCACAGTGGAACAGATTTTATTAAACATTATACTTTAAACAAAAAACAATGATTTGATAGAATAAAGCATTGGCTTCTTAAGTAATAGTTTAGTGTTGAGTTTGTATGATGATGATAGAATATGATGCAGTGAGATTTTGAGATTTATATTTTGAGATTTTTGCTTAGGCTTAGTTTCCTCTAATATAAATAATATATATTCAGCATGAATTAAAATAGATAAAATGTTTGTTTTATAGTAACCTGTATTAACATTCTTTCATTTTAGCGGTTTTCGTCGTAATCAAAACATGAATCAAAGCAAATATGGTTCGTTCACTCGGCATAATAGTTTGAAAAATAAACAACCTGGTGGCAAATTGACCAAACCTGATTGGAATCTCTGTACATTACGACCTTTCCAAAAAAATTTTTACAGAGAAAATCCTAATGTTACTAAAAGATCATCTGTGAGTATCTATATGGTTTAATACTGTAAATAAATAAGTTTATAAAATAATATAATTTAGTTCTACTCTTAGCTAGTTCAGTTTATTAAATTTAAGTTTTTGATTGAGATAAAATTTTTATTGTCAATTTATATAATACTTTGCTTTTAGATGTAAGAGATTATTATTGTTGTTTTGAAAAGCTTTTATTTAAACTTTTTAAAGTAAAGATCTTTTTAATTAAAAAATTTATATCTGAAAACTTTATAAAATTATATTTAATTTCTTATTAACAACTGACTGTTATGTAGATCAAGATAAATATTTTGACAATGATATCTTTTGAAGATTCATAATATTAAAAGAATGAATCAGACTTACAACAGTGGAAAAGAGAGAGTAATAGGAACAATGATGATGATTTGTGAATTGGTTATGAAGATTCATGAAATATAAATTAACCTTTTTATTAAGTGCTTGCAAGAAATGGAGATGATACATTTTATTTTATCAAAGATTGGAGTTCATATTTCAAAAAAAAATTTTTTAGAGAACAATGAATAATGCTATATTATAAAAGAAATTCGTCATTTAATGATTTGAAATTATAGAGGGGATGAGGTTATATATTTTCTCTTGGTATATATTTCAACCCTTGATCTCTTCTGTTTAGATCCAGATTTGCACAAACATGCTAGGCAGTTTTCTCCATGTTTCCTCTCATTCTCAAAATGTTTGCATATATGCACTTTGTTTTTACAGCCTCTCCTAGTTTCCCTGTTGTAAATAGTTCATGCATGTGCACTAAGGATTTTCAGCTACTATAATTTTGGGGTACAGAATATTTTCAGGACCCAAATTTCCCTAAATTATTTTACATTAATTAACACACAAATTAAAACAATTTATGAACAAATTAATGATAATTACCACATACTTTGGAAAACTCAAAATAAATCATAAGTTTACTGTATAATTTTTCAAACTGATGATTAAAAATTTTTTACAACATTAACCATTTTCATTGTACAATAGTATATATGTTATGACCAAAGCTTGAAGTCGCCCAAAGTGGAAAGTGTCCTGCCAAATCGGGAAATGGCCAATGTCCAATCTTGATTTTGTGATTTGGCTGGCCAGTTTGCAAAATGGCATGGGGCGATCAGCCCAAAGTTGGAAGAAAAAAGTTATTAGCTGATTTTGCTGGGTCTGTATAATTTTGTACTTTTATATTGACTGTTTGGACTTTGAGATGTGATTTTTACTAACAACTGTGGATACAACTAAAAACAATCTCTCAAATGTTTCCATCATGTAATGTTTTAATATAAAGGCTTTACAAAATTTTGTCAAAAATTTATAAAAGCACATTACAATAGAGCATCAATTATTTGAATACCGATCAACTGAAACATTGGTTAACTGAAAGTGTTCCAGTTGGCAAATTCAAATTTCCACTAGTGCTATGGTGGTGCAATATTTGGCTGTCTTGGGCTACTTCCAATATTATTTTTGTTGGTGTGCATGTTTTAGCTGGCAGCACTGGCGCGACCATGAGAGGGTACTTAACCTATTCGATGTTGAAATTTTTATTTGTTGCCTGTGACGCCATGTTGAATTTTTGTCAAAGTTAAGCCTAAATTTTTTGTTTAATAATAATCGTGTTTACTGTATTTTAAAAAATTATTTTTTTATGTTTCACAAAAAATATATATATATTAAATAATATAAAAACAAAAAAGATATTTTAAAAGTTCATTTTAATATAAAAATTGTGACGCGAAGCGACGTCTAGTATCAAAAATGTTTTGATGTAAACATGGAAATTTTTGGGTTCGCCCACGCAGGTCAATGAGGTCAACGTAGGACAGGTTAAAGATGCGCCAGTATTTGAATGAGGCTTTTTTTCCCCATTGTGAGTGGTGAGCTTTGCTTGTTTTGTGTGGTGTTTTTCTGAGGACTGTGTNTTTGAGGACTATATCATGCTGAATTGGAACGTTTTTGATACTAGATTAACTTCCGAGATATAATTTTTTTTTTTTTCAATATACAGTAGCGCATCAATTATCTGAATCGACTGGGGTTGTACGGAAAATCAATTTTTTCTGGTAACCGATTATGTACAAAAAAATATATTAACCTATCCCATGTTGAAATTCATTCAAATCCTGGCAGATGTCCTTAAGTACCCTCTCATGGTCGTGCCAGTGCTGCCAGCTAAAACATGCACACCAACAAAAATAATATTGGAATAGCCCAAGACATAGCCAAAGATTGCAGTATCACAGCACTAGTGGAGATTTAAATTTGGCGACTGGAAAGCTTTCGGTTGATTGACATTTGGATGATCGATGCTGTACTGTATTTATTTTGTTTGTACAAAATAAAGAAATAATTTTTAATGATGCAATAGCCATGATTATTATTTTAAAAAAATTTGTTAGGCTTAACATTGATGAGAATTCGACATGAAGCAACATGCAATGCAGAAAAATTTCAACATGGGATAGGTTAATATATTTTTTCATACACGATCAGTTATCTGAACAACCTCAGTCCCGAATTGTTTTGGATAATCGATGCTCTACTGTATATACATATGTATAATAGTGTTTTAATTTATCTTAATGCAAAAAAAAATATCAATTTTAGTTTATGTATGAGTACAAAAATACAACATAAGCCACTAATTAGCTTTATTACTTATCAGTTCTGATTTTTTTGCCCTAAAACTGTTTCATGGATCTTCTCTTATGTTATGCATCTGGAATGTCCCTAAGCATCATCCAACAGTAATCTGCCATCATATTGACATCCCATTGTCCTTGGTATCTTCTTAATGTCCTGATGGAATCTTTTGCCCTGTTCTTCACTTACAGCTTCTAAATATTCAGGAAAGTATTCCAAGTGCGAGTTTAGAATGTGTACCTTGAGACTCATATTGCAGCTCGGTTTATAGTTCTTAATTAACAAGTTCTCTACTACTGTATTTCTTTATAATCAGAATCTTTATCGTTTCCTAGAAACTTTGAACTGTTGCCTTTGTCATTCATTCCAGAAAGAAGTTCTGTGTCTGATATTAATTTCCTTATAATAGGTCCTGTAAATACACCTTTTAGTTTTGCTTTGGACAAGGCTGGAAACTTTTTGCATAAATATGAAAAGCAGTCTCCATCCTTTGGTAAAGCCTTTATGAACTGTTTCATTAATCCCAGCTTAATATGCATGGGTGACAGCAGCACTTCTGGGTTCACCAAGCTGTTCCTCAATATTCTTTATGCCAGGTTGTAATTGTTTTCTAGGTGACCATTGCTTCTGAACCCAATGCAAATTCCAAATGGCTCTACTGTCCCATCCATAGAGAAAACATGGAAACTTGGTATAACCTGATTGCTGTCCTAATTACATTCAAATCTCCACAGATAAGCCACTGATGTATATCGTAATTATTATTTTTTTTTCAGTAGAGTTTCCAATTTTCATATGTTTCCTTCGAATGTACAGAACATGCTACAGGTATTGATGCATATTTATAGCCATTGTACAGAAGCATCAATTTATCCAATAAAAATGGTTTTGTTGAAAAATCTTATGTGATAGAGAAAAACTAGTAACATTTTTGAATTCAGCTTAAAAAAAAAAGCATATAAGGATCACATAAAAAAGTCAAACATCTTTTCTGCTGCAGACCTATTATTAATTATAAATTATCAAATTCAATTGTTATGCTTATTAATTGTAGTAAATTATCAAGCTCTATCATCACAAGATGAACTTTTATGACATTTTGAATTACACAACAGTTTATTTCTACATTTGCAGCAATTTGTTGTGCACTTAGTAGTGCAGTTGCATTGAGTATAACCTTGGCCACCTGTCAGTGATTGGGAAAGACATGACAGTTTGTATTGACTTTTCTTCTGCGCCCACAGATTCCAGTGTGAGTAGTTTCTCGTAAAGAATGGAAAACTCACTTCTGGAATACAGTTGTTTGAGAACACCATGTTCTTTTCCTAGCTTGTAGAAAGTGTCCTTGACAATTACAAGAACGTTTCTTGCATCATCACGACTTCTGTCAACATCTGGTATACAGATGTGTACATTATCTCCAACTTTTGCCGATGGGAATTTTTACATTTGAATTTTTAAGAACCTTTGCACCTTGAGCTTGCAAACTAGCATGAGCTGCTGGCCTCTTCTTCCTGATTTCTTGTTTATTATGACATAGCCTGCAAGTAATTATCCCTCCATATCTTTCGTCTATTTCATTATTTATTCCACAAATTGCACAGACATCTTTGCTGCAGTGTCTACAAGAAGACTGAACTACACTCTTTTTCACACACTACTAAGAATCTTTTTGCATTGTTACTGTCAGGCAACTTATCTGGACTTTCTGATGGTTATGTGTAGTCCAACTTCACCCAGCATATTCGTTCCATCAGAAGTAGCCATGGGACAGCCTATGGAATAACAATTATGAATATGTTAAATTGAAATACTGTCACATGGGATAAAGCCTCAGTAACTTGTGTTCTGTTGCTAATTTAGCACATTTCTTTAAAGGAAAACGTGTTGTAGCAAACAATCCTTTATTAACTTCAGCATAACTATTGTATGCCCCTTTTCAGAAATGTGTCATCGCATGTACTCCATAACACACGTGCTCTACAATTTAACCTTTGAACTGAAAGCATTCATATAGAGTAGTATAGAAGGAATACAGTACTCACAATGAAACTACTAATTCAGAATAATAACAAGTCAGGCAGGACCTTTTCCGAAACGCAGCAGACATACCGAATATTATTGTTGCAACATGGCACCTTCCTTGCTAGCACATGCCCACCATCATCATACCAGATGCAGATGATGTGCCACATACCAGACAGTCTTGCATCAGCACATCAAATTTTGGCCAGGGATTTTCTGCCAATTTGCAAAATGGCCAGTCAAAGTAACATACATTGTAAAGTACTATATTTAGTGTTTTGCTCTACAACGAATTTTTTTCTTAAAGA